AGTGAGCAGATTTATTCATTGGAATAAAGTGCTGGTTGGTGTCTTTTATCTTTCATTATCAAAAATCTACCTATTTCATCTTGAAAAATTCCATTGTTGCCCACAACATGACTCCCTCCATTGCTATACATTAAATATTTTCCCTATTTCTAAATGTTATCATGACCACTGAAGGGACAGTGAATGAACACTATCAGTGTCATCCAATATAGATCTACTTTCAGTTCAGGAATCTATTCAATTTTTTTCATTGTTTTGGCAAAAGTGTCATGAAGCCAAAACATGTAGTATCCATGGCTTTACATCAGAAAAATAGTTTCCCCTTCTTAAAGAAGGAATAGCAAATTTCTGGAATTATCAGGGGATATGTTCCTACCCCAGCTCAATGTTTTGAACTTCTAGGGACCTAGTCAACACAGGTTCTTCAGTCTTAAACTTTGGAGAAACTTTGAGAGGAACAATAAAGGTGCTCATAGCTAATTTGAGATACATTCTTGTTGCCTATAATCACCTTACTATACTATGCAACACTAGAACTTATTCCTCTTCTCTATCACTGTAGCATTCTTATCCATTAAGCAATGTCTCTTCACCCCTCTTCTTTCCATGGAGTCAGAGTGTGTATTCCTGGTTCTAAATTCATTTTTCAAATATAGAAAGTGTTGGAAGGAGTTTGGTTTGGCTGGTTTAGATTGCTTTTCTCACAACCTGGCTGTTTTCCATTACTCCCCTCCCACCCCTACCATAGGTGTGTGCACTTGCCAAAAGGAGGCAGAGAGAGATATAGGGAAAGTGAAAATCCAATCCCAACCCCCCCCCCAAAAAATAAGGATGGCCATGCTACAATCCTTTCCCCTCCAATATCTTTTTGGCATTTTGAGCAAGCATGCCATTGCACCTGGTGTGTTTTTCAAGCTGCCAGGTCTGGGCTCAAGCTATGCTCAGCCATGTGGAAATTCAGTGCCTTAACAACCATGGCACCTGCTGACCCCTATCTTATTTAAATTTTTTAGAGGTTTTTGCTATAGAGCACATGCACTTGCCAGAAAGACAGAGAGAGAGAGAGACAGAAAGCGAGAAATCACGCCCCCCCCCCCAGGGGGGATGGCCACGCCACAATCCCTTCTCCTCCATTCTCCTCTCAGGATCTTGGACATGCACACACAGGAACCTGGCATGATTTTAAGCCACCAGGTCCGGCACTCAAACCATGGTTGACTACATGGGAGTTTGGCGACATAACCATTATTCTAACTTCTGGTCCCTCTTATTTAATTTTTACACATTTCCTGTCTGTTAGGACATAAGAGAGGTCTCTAAAAAGTTCATGGAACAAAAACACATTATGAAAAAAATGGCATAAATTTTTTTAAAATAAAACCTTTTTGTCTCAATATATACTCATATTTTACTAACATTTGTCCAGATACATTTTGAAGTTATCTCATACTATGAGCTAATAAGATCCACTGCAGAATTTGAGGTTCAAAAGGGTTATGAACCCTGTATAGGATGATGTTTGGAACTCCATCAAAATGTTTCCTGGTTGCATGATCTAGGCATCAGAAAAGAAAATATCAGTTAATGACAAAGGGCAGAGATGTCATATCCATTGTGAGAATAAAAAAGCAAGTTCATACACTCTACTTTTTTATTTCTAATTTTTAATTTCACTTTATTTGGGGATAATTTATTAACATGTGGGAAGAAGGACGGAGGAGGAGGAGAGTGTGAGGAAAGACATTAAGGAGAAAAATAGGCAAAGAGATTTATGGGACACAGAAATGGATTATTATCTGTTGGTGATAATGTGTATAGCATTCGCAATTGGACTGGTGCCAACTGTATTCATGTTGGAAAATTCACTTTACAAGCAAAGTGATGTATAGTGAGTGACTGTATAAAAGAAATTAAAAGAAAAGAAAATATAAAATAATAACAAATGATGCTACTTTATAGTATGTTCATTCTACTCACTGAGGTTTATGCCTAAAGTCAGACTTGTGTTCATGGATATGTATATATCAGCTGTGCTTGCTATTGAAAATATTTAGATTAATTAAGATCTTTAGTGAATCAATAAAATGTGCAGGGTGGGGGGAGATGCAGAGAAAGCAACCATGGATATCAGAGACAGTGTAGGAGGAGGGTGGGACATGGCAGAGGGTGATAGGGAATCAAGGATGAGGGAAAAAAGCAAAATATGCAGGAAAAAAGAAATAGAAAATTATTTGTTGATGAGAACATGTATGTCGATGTGCTTGATTGAGTCAATATACAGTATATTCTGGATGGAAAATCTAATTTTATATGCTATAATGATGTGTTAGTAAATGAATGTAAATAAATAAATTTAAATTTAAAAAAATCAAGAAAAAGATCATAATAATAAATGGAATTTATTCTTTAAAAAATAAGACACACACATGTAATATATGATGCAGAGAAACCCATGTATCGTTGATTCTGTTTCACACATAGTAATGACTTGTAAAACCACAGCACAGGATCTCAACCAGGATATTCACATAAATAGGAGTCAAAATACAGAAGGATTTCATCAACACAAGGATCACTAGCTCTGCTCTGTTACAACCACATCTTCCTCCCTCCCTGCCCAGTCCCTGATCTCTAGCAAACACTAATCTATTTACCATTTATACTGTAATATTATTTCAAAAATGTTTTATGGACTATAAAAAGGTTCGCTCAGGAAAATAGTGGAATAGATACTGTTGTCAATGACTATGGTAGGTCCTACAGACAGAGCTCAAATTGAAACAAAATCTTAAAGATGAGGATAAATACCAATGACCAGTTATAAGCACTCACACCAGGCACGCGTGCACATGTGCCCAAGATCCCAAGAGGAAAATGGAGGAGAAGGAATTGTGGTGTGGCCGACCCCCTTGGGGGGAGGTGATTTCTCACTTTCTGTCTCTCTGTCTCTCCTATATCTCTCTTTCTGGCAGCCCTATTGCAAAACCTCCAGAAAAAAAAGAAAAGAAAAAAGAAGAAAAGAAAAGAAAAAAGAAAAGAAAAGAAAAAAAGAAAAGAAGAGAAGAGAAGAGAAAAGAAAAGAAAAGAAAAAAAGAAAAGAAAAGAAAAGAAAAGAAAAGAAAAGAAAAGAAAAGAAAAGAAAAGAAAAGAAAAGAAAAGAAAAGAAAAGAAAAGAAAAGAAAAGAAAAGAAAAGAAAAGAAAAGAAAAGAAAAGAAAAGAAAAGAAAAGAAAAGAAAAGAAAAGAAAAGAAAAGAAAAGAAAAGAAAAGAAAAGAAAAGAAAAGAAAAGAAAAAGAAAAGAAAAAAAGAAACCATATAGAGTCCCAGACCTCTTCCCTGCATGGAGAATGGGGATGAGGGTGGATTTAAAAAAAAAAAAGATGGACAATGGTATTTAGTACCAAACTGTGAAAAATTGTGCTCTCAAATTTTCCTTTGCAACAAATTATATAAATTGACTTTGTTGCCAAGTGTAGTTTTTTTTACATGGAGAAGTACAACTCTACTATTTCCTTAGCAACACAAAAGACAAAAAATTACTGTAATCTATGTCACTTGAGAAGTTATTCTTAAAAAATCCATAGTGTGCCATGAGATATATTTAAATGTACAAATAACTATTTTTTGAGAGGTTTTCGCTATAGGGCGTGTGCACTCACCAGACAGACAGAGAGAGACAGAGAGACAGAAAGCGAGAAATCACCCCCAAGGGGGGATGGTAACGCTACAATCCCTTCTCCTCCTTTCTCCTCTCGGGATCTTGGGCATGCACACACATGCGCCTGGCATGAGTTCTTAGCCACCGGGTCCGGGACGTGAACCACGGTTGACTACGTGGGAGTCCAGTGACATAACCATTATGCTAACTGCTGGTTCCCCAAATAACTATTTTTTAAGAATTTTTTTTTTATTAATTTGACCAGAAAGATGGAGAGAGAAAGGGAAAGTGAGAAAGCAAGCTGGCAGGTCTGGGACTCAAACTGTGGTCAACAGTGTGGGAATTCAGCACCTTACCTCCTGTACAAATAACTCTTATGCAAGATTGAGGATAAGGGACCAGCAGTGTAATGGCTATGTTGGTAGACTCCCATGTAGTCGACCACGGTTCGTGTCCTGGACCTGGTGGCTTAAAACTCACACCGGGCACATGTGCATGCGTGCCCAAGATCCCAAGAGGAGAATGGAGGAGAAGGGATTGTGGCGTGGCCATCCCCCCTGGGGGGTGATTTCTCTCTTTCTGTCTCTCTGTCTCTCTCAGTCTGTCTGGAGAGTGTACGTGCCCTGTAGCAAAGACCTCTCCAAAAAAGAAAAAAAAAAAGATTGAGGATAACTCTTTTTTTAGAGAAAGGAAAAGTGAGAAAGCAAGCTGGCAGGTCTGGGACTCAAACTGTGGTCAACAATGTGGGAATCCAGCACCTTAACCATCTGTCAGCCTCCTGTACAAATAACTCTTATGCAAGATTGAGGATAACTCTTTTTTGGGTTTTATTTATTATTATTGTGTATACATTCAATTGCTATACATCATTTAGATTGTAAAGAGACTTTATCCAGCATTAGGTACTCAGCATGAAGTACTGGTACTCAGTCCAGCCCAGTTGAGAATACTATACACTTCCAGATTGAGGATAATTTTGAGAAAGAATAAAATGACAGAGAAAAAAATGCATATCAAAGAGACCAGAAAGCTTTAGAGTTAGTTACTTAACTTTTACAGAGATATAAAATCAAATTAGTGGCAAGTTCTGAAAATCAACAGAAGGAAAAAGTACTACTTCCACTCAGGAAACAAAACATTTAACAGACACAAGAATACAAAATTATCTGTTGAGGATGATACATATGGTTATACCTATGATTTGACCAACATGCACTGCATACATACTTTGAAAAACGCTATTATATGCTATAAAGATTACAATGCTTAAATATAAATTATGCAATTAGAAAAATATAAAGAAAATAGAGAAGAGTACTCCTTCCATAATTTCATCAAACAATCACAATACCTTACTGATATTTTGAACCCTGCAATTGGTGAACTTCGTCAGTTCCAGGACAATGGGTCCATGTAAAGTTTTCCTCCAAAGACTATTTTTCAGGGCCCTCTTTGCATTTTTATTCCTCAGACTGTAGATGAAGGCATTCAGCATGGGAGTGACCACAGTGTATATCACTGAGACTGCTGCACTTGATTGTGAGCTGTGGGTAGCAGCAGCACTAAGGTACACACCCATGCTTGTACAAAAAATTAAGGAGACAACTGAGAGGTGAGAGGCATAGGCAGAAAATGCTTTGTACTTCCTCTGAGCTGATGAGATTGCACAAAAGGAGGAAACTATCTTAGAATAAGAGTAAATGATCCCAGCAATGGGACCGCCACCCAGCAGCACAGCTGCAGAATAGGTCACCATGACATTGAGAAAGGTGTCAGAGCAGGCCAGGTGGACAAGCTTATTAAGATCATAGTAGAACTGGGGGATTTCCACATGTGGACAGAAGGACAGCTGTAATATCATTAAGGTATGTAACAAGGAATGCAGGGCACTCACGTTCCAGGCTGTAAGAACCAGCAACACACAGAGCTGGGGGTTCATAATGACAGTATATAGCAGGGGGCGACAGATGGTCACATACCAGTCATAGGACATCACAGTCAAGAGAAAGTTGTCCAATCCTGAAAACAGTAGAACAAAGAACATCTGGGTGATGCATCCTGCATATATGATGACCTGGCTCTGTGTCTGGATGTTCAGCAACATCTTTGGGACAGTGGCAGAGGTGCAACAGATGTCTATGAAGGGACAGGTTGGAGAGGAAGAAGTACATGGGGGTGTGCAGGTGGGAGTCTGAGATGGTGGCCAGGATAATGAGCAGGTTTCCAATCAAAGTGATCAGGTACATGGAGAGAAAAAGCCCAAATATGAGGGGCTGAAATTCTGGTTCCTCTGAAAGTCTCAGAAGAAGGAATTCTGAAATTTTTGTGTTATTCTTAGATTCCATGTGCTGGATGTTAGTATCAGGAAAGAAAAAAAAATGATTACTTTCATACAAACAGGCATTATCGATACAGTTGTAATGCTACAATAGAGATTTTCAATCAAGAAAATTAAGTTTTGTATTTTCTTATGGACCCTGTAGCTATTAAGTCATTTCTAGAATCCTTAAGAAATTTCTGTAATACTCTGAGTCTTTTGCCTAAGATGTCATATTTGCTACAGTCTAATAAGAAATTATTCCTTACATTTGAGGAATATATATTGATTGTTGACCATGTTCTAGACATTGTTCAGTCAATGACTAGAGGAAATTGAAAACAACTCCTTACATTCCAGTAAGGGAGAAAGAATATAAGTAGATACGAAAATAATATATGGGGCCAGCAGGTAGCATGGTGGTTGAGACATTGGACTCCCACATGGCAGACCCATGATTCAAGTGCTAGAACTGGTGGTTTGTTTACTCTCTCTCTCTTTCTCATTCTGGTCAAATCAAAAAATAATAATAAATAAAATTAAATAAATTATATACATATATATAAATCACTTGGATTCAGTTGATGGAATTATGTATATTTGCTTATCCAAAAACACATTACATTGTATGCAATTATGTATAGTCCTTTGTACATCAATTGCTTCTCACCAGCAGTGTAAGAGAGTTTCCCTTTCACCACATCCCCATCAACACTTATCATTCTTTGATTTTTTTAATCTTCACCATTCTGACTGGGGTTAGGTGGTCTCTCATTGTTGTTTTGATCTGCATTTTTCCTTACAATGAGGGATGTTGAGCATATTTTCATATGCCTTCTGGCTATTTGTATGTCATCTTTAGTGAGTGTTCTTTCAACTCCTTCTCCCATCTTTTAATAGGGTTCATCATCTTTTTTCCAAACTGCTTCTTTATTTCCTTATGTATTCTTGTTATCAATCCCTTATCTGATGCATAGTTTACAAAAATATTTTCCCATTCTGAGGGCTTTTGATTCACACTAATTACTGTGTCTTTTGCCATGCAGAAACTTCTTAGTCTGATGTAATCCCACTTGTCTATTTTGGGGATTATCGACTGTGTTTTAGGGGTCTTATGTAAGAAGTCTTCCCTACCCCAATGTCTCCCATAGTTTCCCCAGTGTTTTCTAAAAGCAATTTAATAGTTTGGGGTCTTAGATTTAGATCCTTGATCCACCTTGACTTGATTTTT